AGGACCAGTTTGACCAGGCTAGACCATAGGTTTGGGTTTTTTTTTTAATTGATCTGTCCTAAAGAGTGAAATTTCACAACTGTGTGACCCCATGAAAGAACTAAAAATCGCTCGACAAAACAGGAACTGGCTGTGCTTTTCATTTTTAACCATATTCTATATTCCTTATCTGCCTTTTGTAGAAATTACAACTTAAAGGTTGAACTCTTGCATAATTTTGTTATAGATAATTCTGTTTACTGAACAGTCAGAAGGAATATTATGTAATGATACTTTTCCTTCCACTCCAATCTAAAAATATGTATTATTGGATCTAATCTGCAACTGGAATCCAGCTACACAGAGACTTATTTAATTTGCCTCCAGTTTAAAACAAATAAACAAAAAACTCCACCGGTTCCACAACCCTAGAATTGCCTCATAAGAAAAATAATTTTTGAAGAGCATATTCAATTTTTCACCTTCCTGCTCCTTAATCAACACAACCACAAGGCAATATATAAACTTAAACCATGAATTAAAAACATTCTTCACAAAAATAAGAAAAAAAAACTTGGTATCAAATCATCCTGGCTCTTATAGCATAAAGAAATCAGCTGTGTGCAACCCATATGTAATATAGATCCCAGAACAAAAAAAAAAAAAAAAAAAAAGGACTTCACATATTCCTCAGCCCAGGAACCTCCATTTATGTTATTATCTTCTACTCTGTACTTCTTGCAATTTTAAATTTCCATTGTAGTAAGAGGAAAAATGCCCAATGGAGATTCTTGCCAGTATTTCCAAAGAAATTCTGCTTTACCCTTAGTACTCCAAAGTATTCATGCTCTGATAAGTATGGCCATATGTGTTTCGCCTTTAGGAAGAGAATGTTTTGGGGCTGAGATTTCTCCAAAGGAAGTGAGGTAGTTTAGGGCAGAATGGACAGGAAAACATATCATTTCTTTGAGAACTGATAATCAAGGCTTTACAACTGTCAGGAACCAGAAACTGAGGCTGGGTTATCCACAGGAATAGTGATTTAAAGGAGGAATGTGAGGGAATTTCTACATCTACGTCACTCCCTCAACTTATGCTATTAAATTTTTCTTATGTTAAAAAAATTAAATAGGGGTGCCTGGGTGGTTCAGTTGGTTGGGTGTCCAACTTCGGCTCAGGTCATGATCTCACAGCTCGTGAGTTCGAGCCCCACATTGGGCTCTGTGCTGACAGCTCAGAGCCTGTAGCCTGCTCCAGATTCTGTGTCTCCCTCTCTCTCTCTCTACCCGCTCATGCCCTCTCTCTGTCTCAAAAATAAATGAACATTTAAAAAAAAAATTTTAAGAAAATAAAATAAATTTAATAAAATTTAAAAATAAAGGAGGGATAGGAAAGAGTCATTGAAACAGAAACGTAGGAATCTGACTTTCCAAATCACACCTATATACAGATGCTCAGCTTTTGGGAGCTAGTCCCAAACACTTAATCTCTGGATCTTTTTTGCTATTTGCCTTCTCCCCAGTTGATAGCCTCCATCCTTTATCTGGTCTTCCCTGTGTCCTGCAAATTCCAGGGAATTCCAATGTCTGGCTTCTAAGTCTATATAGCTTCCCAGCCTGGAATTTAGTATCCATTCTATGCTAAGGAGACACCAAGGAAGGAAAGAAAATTCCTGCCCTCAAGGTGCTTATACTCTAGTGAGAGGAAGAAGACAATAAACAAAGTAAGTAATTAAAATACAGAATATTAATTCACCATATGACAATGCTGGTGTGGCTAAACTTTGTGATGTGCAAAAATGATGATATCATGTGAGACAACCTATATACTAAATGGTGATGAATATTATGTTTTAAAAAATGAAGCAGGGGAGCAGTGCCTGAGTGGCTCAGTCAGTTAAGCATCCAACTTCAGGTCATGATTTCATGGTTCATGGGTTCAAGCCTCGTGTCAGACTCTGTACTGACAGCTTAGAGCCTGGAACCTCTTCAAATTCTGTGTCTACCTCTCTCTCTGCTCCTCCTCTACTCGTACTCTCTCTCTCTCAAAAATAAACATTAAAATAAAACAAATAAAACAAAACTAAATTAAATTAAATTAAATTAAATTAAATTAAATTAAATTAAATTAAAAATGAAGCAGGGGAGAAGAATAGGTAGTAGGCTCGATAAAAGAGTGAGAGCAGAGAGGGTTACAATTTAAAATTGGGCAGGGGCGCCTGGGTGGTTCAGTTGGTTGAGCGTCTGGCTTCGGCTCAGGTCATGATCTCATGGTTTGTGAGTTCAAGCCCCGTGTCAGGCTCTGTGCTGACAGCTCAGAGCCTGGAGCCTGCTTCGGATTCTGGATCTCCCTCTCTCTCTCTCTGCCCGTCCCTAACTCGTGCGCGCGCGCTCTCTCTCTCAAAAGTAAATAGCCCCTCCCCCACTCGTGCTCTGTCTCTCTCTCTCTCTCTCTCAAAAGTAAATAAACATTGGGGTGCCTGGGTGGCTCAGTCGGTTAAGCAGCCGACTTCGGCTCAGGTCATGACCTCGCGGTCCATGAGTTCGAGCCCCGCGTCGGGCTCTGTGTTGACAGCTCACAGCCTGGAGCCTGTTTCAGATTCTGTGTCTCCCTCTCTCTCTGACCCTCTCCCGTTCATGCTCTCTCTCTGTCTCAAAAATAAATAAACGTTAAAAAAAAAAAGTAAATAAACATTAAAAAAAATTTTTTTAAATAAAATGGGGCTATCCATTTCCAAGTGGTACACTTATGTGACACCGTTTTTGCTACTTTATCATTATTCTTTTAAGGAGCATGCATTCCTTTATACTGAGTTTTTAAAAACTTTAGAATATGAAAGTTGCCGAAAAAACGCAATAAGTAACTTAAAAATGTAAATTTTAGGGCATTTACATCAAGCAGGAATATAAGATACAAATCATATTAACAGAGTCTTATGCTCTATGAAACTAGGTTAAATACCTGGTATAAAGTGTGGTAGAAAGGCTTTAATTATATATGTTCTAAGCCACTGATTTTAAAAACAAGCAACAAACTGTATTTTAATGAGCATAGTAGAAATATAGTTTATGTTACATTTTTAAAAATTTATGTTACATTTTTAAAATGTACATGATCAAAGAACAAACAACTCCCATTAATGGATCACCCAAATAGTCAATCTAACACAATGCTTTTCAGATTTGTTTGTGAACTACAAAAATGTGGGGAGAGACGAGAAAAACTTACAAGAGGTAGCTATGAGACAGCCTAATAAAAAAATAAACTAGGGGCTCGTGGGTGGCTCAGTCAGTTAAGCATCTGACTCTTGGTTTAGGCTTAGATCATGATCTCCCAGTGTCGTGGGATAGAGCCCAGAGTTTGGGGTCTGAGCTAACAGTGTGGAGACTACTTAGGATTCTCTCTCCCCCTCTCTCTCTCCGCCTCTCCCCTGCTTGTTCTCTCTCTCTCTCTCTCTCTCTCTAAAAAAAAAAAACAAAAAAAAAACAAAAAAAAAACAAAAAAAAATCTAATACACGGCTTAAACATTAATATAACACAAATGATATTATCAAAATTTATGACGTTGCAATAAATTCCATAAAAACCAGGATCCTAGTAAGACTAATTATTAAGTTAATCCATTGGACATGGCCTGGAATCTAAAAGGAAGACATGAATTCTCCTCCTGAATACTGAGTGATCTAGCTCAAGAATCTAACAGTTATACATAGTGCCCATTCCCCAAAAGAAATCTAAACCAGCAATGCTCAACAGAACCGTTTGCCGTGATGGAAATGTTCTGCCTTGTCCAATAAGGTAACCACTAGGCATGGATGGCTATTGAACACTTCAAATGTGGCTAATAAAACTGAAAAACAGAATTTCCAAAATTATACCATACTTACAGAATAATAGCAGGGTACCTACATCTCACAGAAACGGACTCCCAAATCAAAGCATCTAATGCCATTATTAGGAGTCACACATCATGCAGCCAGTCCTTTGAATCACTGAGCAAAAAAAGTAACTCTTTTCTGCTCTTCTTAAAGAGGATGTGTTAATACCCTAAATATTATTTTCACAATTTACTGCCATTCATAGGAACTTAGGTCACATATATTCTTATGCAAAATATTGGAGTAAGTCCTGCCCTCCACTCTACCTTCTCAAATCTGTTACAGCTGTTCAATTTTAAATGAATATCCATTTCCTGTCATTTGTCAGACTTTATAACTTAAAGTCAATAGAGGGGCGCCTGGGTGGCGCAGTCGGTTAAGCGTCCGACTTCAGCCAGGTCACGATCTCGCGGTCCGTGAGTTCGAGCCCCGCGTCAGGCTCTGGGCTGATGGCTCAGAACCTGGAGCCTGTTTCCGATTCTGTGTCTCCCTCTCTCTCTGCCCCTCCCCCGTTCATGCTCTGTCTCTCTCTGTCCCAAAAATAAATAAACGTTGAAAAAAAAAATTAAAAAAAAAAAGTCA